CAGGTCCCGGTGCCCTCGGCCTCACGCACCCGCTCCCTCAGGCGGCCCGCCTCGGCCTCGGCCGCCTCGCACTTGCCGTGCGCCGCCTCCAGCTCGGCCGCTGCCTCCCACTCCCGCTGCCGCAGCGCCTCCTCCAAGCTGCGGATCCTGGTCTCCAGCTCGGCCTGCAACTTCTCCGAGGCCTCGGCAGCACCAGGGTGCAGGACGGGGCCTGTGGGGACCCTGGAGGTCGTGGCCTCCAGTCCTGTGGCCTCCATTTTTCTGGTCTGTGTGCCGGTGAGCTCTTCCCCCACAGCACCCACTCCATTGGCCTTCATTTCTGGTTCCTCTGCTTTCATATTTGTGGCCCCTGCTCCTGCGGCCTTTGCTTCCGGGTTTCCTCCTTCTTCGAGAGTTTTCATTCCTGTGACCTCACTCTCCATGGCCTTTGTTTCCAAAGCCTCGGCCCCCTCACCCCCTGTTTCCGTGGCCTCAGCCACCGTGGATGCTGCTTCCAAAGACCTGGCTCCCATGGTTTCAGCTCCTGCAGCCTCCTCGTCTGTGGTCTGGGCCCCGTTAACCCTGATTTCCGGAGCTGCAGTGCCGTTCAGCTCCGTTTCCATTGGCCCGTTTCTGATGGTCTTGGCTCCCAAGCCTTTGCCTTCCCCAGGGGCTGCCTCGTCTTCCCCAGGGGCCTCCCGTGCTTCCTGCTGCTCCAGCGCCTGCAGGGCCTTGGCGTGCTGCCTGCGAAGCTGGTCAAACTCAGCCCGGAGAGAGTCATAGAGAGCCAAAGGGATGACCTCGGCCAAGCCGTCAGCCTCCATCTCGTCCTTCTCAAAGTTTTCCAGGATCTGGTGAGGGTGGGGGAGCCAGGCAGGGGCTGAGGTGGCCAGGGTGGGGCACAGGGCAGCCATGCCACTTTCCCTGACCACAGACTCAGCCACGTGCACCTTTGGTCCTCAGGTCTGTCCCCACCCCCTCCCCAGGGCCTTGGTTTCCCCACCTGGACCTTCTCCATCAGCTCCTGGTTCTGTCTGGTAAGTGCAGCCACCTGCTCCTGCAGCGCGGCCAAGAGCTCCCGGGCCGACGGGCTTATCTGCTTGGAGAGCAGCGCCTCGGCCCCTGGCCGGGGACACAGAGTCAGGCCCCAGGGTCCTGGGCTCCAGGAAATGGGAGCTGGGGGTCTGGAGCGTGGGGTCAGGGCCCCTGGGGCAGGCAGGCTGGGGTGAGCGGAATAACCGCGTGCGGGTCAAGTTCCCTCCCAGCTTCAATAACTTTCCACGCCTGTGGGTCAAGGCTCTGACACTGGGGCCCCCGACATGAGGGGGCGAGGCGTGGAGAGGGCTCACCTGGGAAGTCGGACAACTCCCCCTCCTCATCCTGCAGCGTGGCCACATCATAGCTGGTGTTCTCCCGTTCATTCTGGGGGCAGGGACCAGGGTCCAGCTAAGGGTCTTGCCCTCCCTCCAGCCCCCACGTCTCCCCCAGAATCTGCAGTGGGATGTTCATGTGTCCCTGTGATTCCCCACAAGCCTCAGATTGTCTGTGTTTGACCCACAGGTATTTACTGAGCACCAACTGTGTGCCAGGGGGCATGCAGACCTCCCTAGGAAGGCCAGTAAACAGTCCAGCCGCTGCCCGAGTGTGTGCCCATATCCCCAACGGCTAGGCTCGTACGTGCCACCCGGGCACGTGGGATTGAGAGAGTGGTGGCGGTGTCCTCACAAGGGTGCGTCTGGGATTCAGCATCAGGGCCACGTCGAGTCAGGGGTGTCCGCGTGTGTGTGTGTGTGTGTCCCTGTGGGGCGTGCACAGTGGCCCCGCCTCTCCTGTGTGAGTTCCTGTGACTGCGTGTGATTTTGCTCTTCTGCTGTAGTCTGTGGCATATGAATGACTGTTCTGTGTTTGTGTATCTGTTTGTGTAATTCTGTATTCTGAGAAATATTTATGTCTGTGCACGTATTGTGGGTGTGGTGCCCGGTGTGTGAAGAAGCATCTGGTGTGTGTGCACCAGTATGTATTGTGTGTGTGTGTGATTATACACTCACAGGTGTGTTTGTTGTATGTCTGCCTGTTGCACGTGCAAGTACGAGTGTGGTTGCCCACCTCTGGATGTACATGTGTGTGATTGCATGTTTCGAAGTGTCCATTATGTGGATGTGTGTCTGTTATCTGTGTGTGATTGTCTGTTGCGTGTGTTTGTTTGTGTGTGAGACTGTTTGTCACACCCCTGCAGCAGGAGGAGGCCCTGCCCCCAGTGGCCACGCCCAGTAGCCCCACCCAGTGCCCCCATGGCCCCACCCTTTAGAAGCCCCACCCCATCCCTGCTCCCGGCTGGGCCCACCTCCAGTAGGGACAGCCTGCTCTGCAAACTTTCCACCTCCCGTCCCAGACTCTCCTTCTCCTCCTGCTTCTCCGCCAGCAGCTGCTGTAGCTCTTGCACCTGCAGGAAGGGGAGAGGGGCTCAGCTGGCCTCTGGGAGAAAACACTGGGCAGCTGGGGGTCCAGCTTCCGCCCCTCTTCTACCCTACCTGTCTCTCCAGGCTGTGGAGGGAGCTGGCCTCTGCCTCTGGTAGCTGACGGAAGAAAGGGGTACTGGGCTTGGATCTGGGCTGGGGGGCCTCCCTGGACCACCTCCTGCTTAGTATTAGTAGCCCTTCATCCCACAGATGTCTTCTGTGCACCCGCTGCCCACCCAGTCCTGCTCCACCCCCTCACTCCTTACTAAGTATTTATTGAGTGCCTACCCCATTTGGGGCCACTAATACATTTATTCATTTGTTCACTCACTCACTCAAATATTCGTTCATCCAATAAATATTTATCAGGCATCTACTATGAGCCAGGCACCATCAACCACGCCTGCCCTTATAGATTTACAGTCGAATGGGTGAACATGAATAAAATAAATGGTACATCCAATAGCAGTAAATGCTTTGAATAAAAATAAAAGGAACTGGGAAGTGAGTGGGGGGGTGTTACAATTTTAACAAGGGAGGCAAGGGAGGTGTCTTTGAGCAAAAAAGGAGTGGAGGGAGGGAGCCATGGAGACATTTGGGAGAAAGTATTCCTGGCAGAGGGCGCAGCATGTGCCAAGGTCCTGAGGCAGGACCATGCTGGCATGTTGGAGGAAGAGCAAGGAGGCCCGTGTGGCTGGAACAGAGCGAGCCATGGGGAGAGAGGGAGGAGTGTGATAAGACAGGTAGAGGGGCCTCCCCTGAGAATGGCGCCCGCCCCGGGCTTAGCCCCAGGCCTGTGTCTGCCGCCCCTCACCTCCTGCTTCCTGCGCTCCTGGTGCTGCTCCAGGCCCCGGATCTTCTGCAGCAGGCGGCCCCTCTCCTGTCGCAGCCGTACGATCTCCTCATAGGCATCCTGATCGTCCTATCCCCCCCGCCCCGGGGACCCACCACCTTAACGTGAGGCCCAAGGACTGTGCCAGAGCTTCCTCCCCATCCTGACTGGAGGCGTGCACACCTCCCCCAGCGGCCAAGGCATCTCTCACCGGCACAGGGATACTGGCTGGGGGCTGAGGTGCCTTCCGCTTCTTGGGAGCCCCTTGCTTCTCATGGCTAGACACAGAGTTCTGGGGGGGAGGGGTAAAGAGGGGACATGAGGGACATGCCAGCCTCCCACCCAAATAAACCAATACAGTCAACCCATGATGTGTTACCAGCCCCAACTCTGCGCTCACTTTCTGTGTGCTTCTGAGTGGCTCCCTGCCTCTCTCCAGTCCTCACTTACCCACACAAAACGGGGCAAGACCACATCCCCTGAGCGATCCAGATCTGATGTTTTACTCTGTTCCCATCTCCAGGCTTTGGGACTTGCCCCAGCTAGACCCCATGACCTGCAAGTTTCCTCTCCCCATGGAGCTAGATGCTGCAGGGCCGGGAGGCCAGGCCTGCCCGCTCCCCTGACTACAGCAGCCCTCACCAGTCTCAGTTCCCTCTGCCATCCCCACTCAGCCCCATGATTTGGCCCCCTCCCCCTAGGGTTCTCGCCCAGTTCTGGGAGGCATGTTGTGGGTGCTGCTGCCAGTTGGTGGCAGTGTACCCTGAAAGTAGCATTCTTCCCAAATAAGTCCTTCCAGATCACAACCCTGGGGCGAGGGGGAAGGCAGTGTGTGCATAAGGAGGGGGACTTACTCACTGCTCTGGGTCCATACCTGAGATGATGCCTCGCCTGAGTCGTCCTCTAGGAGGGCAGAGGAGAGAGGGAAGCAGGGTCAGGCCCTGTTCTAGGAACTCCGTGCCCAGCCCTCTGAGGGAAGGGCATCAGTGAGCCCAGGGGACTTGAGGGGGCTCCCAGTTCCCCCCAGAATCAGGACTTTCAAGGTAGGAATCAATCATTTGGACAGAATGCTAATAGGAGGGAACTTGAAACTCTCAAAAAAAAAAAAAAAAGAAAAGAGAGTGAGCAGTGGTATCTATAGGCTGTGCTGAGTGGGAATGCCAATTCTTAGGAAAGGCAAAGATTCAAGAATAGGGATGACCCAGGAAATCAGAGTTGACCCCTAGGCTATTCTAAAAGCCCTGGGGCTCCTTTAAACTGTGCTGAGTAGTAGTAAGGGGAGCCGTGGAACCTCCTATAATGCAAGTAGGGATACCTTGAAACTGTCCCCAGTAGGGAGAGAGAGGGGTGACAAGAAACTACCTAGAAGACGGAGGAGGGTGCTCGAAATTGTTCTGAGTTGGGGTTTGCGTACCGCTGGCTGGTGACGGGCGCTGGGCTGCCTCTTGCAGGAGGTGCAGGATGAGCTTGTCCCCCGCCAGGGCGCCGTAGTGAGTAGCGTCCTGGCCCAGCGCATCGGTGATGCCCGGCTGGGCCCCGCCCTGCAGCAGCACCGCCACTGTTTCGGGGCTGGCCCCCTCACAGGCCAGCATCAGGGCCGTCCTACCAGAAGAGGGGGCTACTGAGGGGCTGAGGACATTTTCAAACCTCCACCTCCTTCTCAACATGCAGGCTGGATCAGGGAGGAGGCCAAGCAGGTCCCACACCCAGAGAGGTTAAGAGACTTGCCCAAGGTCATACAGCACACACTGGACTGGCTGAGAGAGGAGATGCTCACCTGCCCTGCAGGTCCTGGTCATTCGCAGCAGCCCCTTGCTGCAGGAGGAGGCGGCACAGATCTGTGTGACACATCTGAGCTGCTATGATGAGGGGTGTTGTACCCAACTGGGGGGGGGAGGGTGAGGGACAAGACACGGCATGAGAGGCTGACTCCAGGAGGCAGGGAAGCCCACGACTGCCCGCCAGCTTCATTCCAAATCTTCATACTTTTCAAGAGGTGCCCAGGATGCCGCCACTTGGTGGCAGCATACCTCAAATGCAGACTCTTTTCCAGAAAGATCCCAGAGCCTCACCCGATCTCGGGGATTCAGATGTGCTTTGAAAGAGCAGAGCATTTCTGAGCAGGAGATGCAGCCACCAGCCACTGGGAAAAGAGAGAAGGAGGGTAGGCAGGGCAAGGCTTCGACACTTTCTGGGAGCCTTCTGCCTGAGTGTGATTCTTACCCTTTATTTCATGAGAAATTCCCGCCTCCCCCAGAAGATAAATAACAAAGGCATGACTCCTATTTTACAGAGGAAACGGAGGCCCAGTCAGGCCCAAAGTCACCCACTGAGGTCAGAGACAGAGCCAGGATGAGGGCACAGGTCTGCTAACTCCAAGTCCCAATCTCTTGCCACACTCCACCAAGGGTCCCTCTTAAGGCGGAACTTTTGACTGATTTTCCTGTATTTACCCTCCTATCGACTCAACCAGCATTTATCGCATACCAACTGTATACCAAACCCTCATACAAAGAGGGTTTAATGTTTATGAGAGAGAACAGACCTCAGCTGAGGTTGGGCAGGCTTCTTGGGTTTTGAGTTGAGTTTTGATGGTGAAGGGGGAGGGCAGAGGTCGCTGCATGGGCAAGGACCCCGAGGTGGGAAGGGGCCTGGAAGAAGTTGGTGGTTAAGAAAGTAGGAGAAGGTGTGTATGTCCAGAGCCTCAAAGAGGGAAGGGAAGGCTTTGTGCAAGATGTCGGTGGAAAATCAAACTCTATATGATTACCTGCTGTGTGCCCAGGGGGCTATGGGATTTTGTTTGCTGCTGAAATCACAGTGCTTAGAACAGAACCTAGCAAATAGCAGGTACTCAAAAATTACGCATGATGAAAAAAAACAAGCATTGTAAATCAATTATACTTCAATCAAAAAACAGAAATAAGGGGGGAGGATGTAGCTCAGTGGTAGAGTGCGTGCTTAGCACGCACGAGGTCCTTGGTTCAATCCTCAGTACCACTGTTAAAAAAATTTTTTTAATTAAAGAAAAGAAAAAAACCAAGGAGCTTCTTTAGTCGGATCAAGGTCCTCACTGCCACTAGGTGGCAGTGTACTCCAACTACAGGGAATTTTCTACAGCGAATAAAATTCCAAAGCAAATTTATTCTTTGCTCCCAAGAGAATAGACGTTTCTTGAGTCATCAGTGAAAGACGTTCCTGAGGGTCATGAGCATGGTGGACAGGCGATTAGCTGGGCTGGGCTCTGGCTCAAGAGGGTAATTCCCTCCCCTCCTTCGGGAAAGGAGTTTGGATTTGATGTTCATGAAGGCTGCCCGGACCACTGGCCTTCCTGCGATGCCCCATGAGTTCCTTGAAGGAAATTTCAGTCTGGTCACCCTCTGATCGTCCTCACCCAGGCCTGACCTACAGTAGGGGTCAGATGGCCTGGATCCTCCCCACTTTCTTGTTGGTGAGCCTCAATCACCTTGTCTGTCCAATGGTCAATGTCCATGGCTCAAAGGGTCACTGAGGATAATGTGGAACCCAGTGCCTGGCACACAGTAGGGGCTCCATGAGGAAGGAGGAAGAAGGAGGCAGAATATTCGAGGCAAGTCCCCAGGGCCCCCGGTAGAATAATCCCCAAACCTAGCACCGTCCGGGCCACAGGGGCCAGAGTGAGGCCGGGCTGCACCCACCTGCATGATGAAGGGCCGTCCACCCACTGCTGTCCACAGTATCCACCGCGCAGGATGCCTGGGGGGGGGGCAGGTCATTTGAGGTAGAGCCATCCCTCTTCGCTGCCTAATTTCTCTCGGAATTGCCCCTCCTTGGGCTCTGCTACATTTCAGGCTCCCTGCCTCTCCCTTTCCTTCCCTCCCACCCACCTGCTCTGCGGACCCCGTCTAACCAACTCCCAAGTGATTTCCTTTGCTTTTTGAAAATTGATGAGGAAGAAGGACTAGCTGGGAGCCCAGGTGCAGCTGGGGGTTTGGAGAATAGATGGGAGCTGAGAGTGGCTGCGGCTAAGAGAGTGTCTAGGTTTGGGGAGAAGCTGGGGGCTCGGAAAACGTCGGCACTGGGGGTATATCCTGGGTGTGGGAAGTAGCTGGACACTCCGGGAGTATCTGGCTGTCCAAGAAGTAGCCAGGACTCTGGAGTCAAAGAGACCAAGGAATACCTAGGATTCAGGGGGTACTGGGGGCTCAGAGACTTGCTGGAACTCAGGACTAGTCAGGGCAAGGGAGTATCTGGGGTTCCAGGAGTATCCGGGTTGGGGGAGTATCTGAGACAGAAAAGGAAATGACCTGTAGCAGTTGCTTCAAGCACTGTGGGTGCCCATACTTGGCGGCCAGGTGGAGGGCATTGTAACCTGAAAGGGAGCGAGGATGGCTGGAGCTCCAGGTACTCAAGGAGCTTCCGGCTGCCCCTCCCCAACCTGTGTCAACTATTTGTGACAACTCCATCTAGCAAGTCCCCAACCCAAGTACTTCTCAAAACTGCACTACTCCCTAGAGCCAGAGACCCTCCAAGCCCCACACAGTCTGTGTCCCAGACAATCTCATCCCAGATCCACTCCACACCCACCCACTCCCCAAGCACTGCAGCCTCCTCTCCTCCCCGCGCCCCACTTACTCTGTAAACTCAGTGACATCAGCACCAGCCACAGCCCTCAGCACCCACAGCTGTTCAGTGTTCCTGCTATCCACGCACCATTCCACATGCCAGCCAAGTCCCTGACTCTGACGCTTCACAAATCCCCAGTACTCCATAAATTCTGGCCGCTGCACCCGTGCCCCAAAACTCCAGACATGCCTATACCCCACGCCTAGCTACTCCCTGAGTCCCGACTGCTCCCCTTGGCCATGGCTTCTATCTCGGAGTTAGTTCTGAGTTATTCCCTCAGGGCCTAGGTAAGTCACACACCTGGATTCCAGCTCTATCTCGAAACCCCAGCTACTCCATGGACCACAGACACTCCCCCCAAACTGTACTTATTCTCATGCCCCTCCAAAATGCTCCTCAAGCTCAGATACTCCTCTGGTCCAGCTACTTCCCCTGACTCGACTACTAGCCGCGCCCCAGATCTCCCAGTCCGCAAGCTGACCCACTCTGTTTGGTGCCAGCCATGGTCTCCATCCTTGGGCACCGCCGCCTGACATGCCTCTGAGCCTCCCCGGGGGCACTGAAGGGAACCCTCTTTTTCAGCAGGACCCTGGGGCCATGAAGCATGGCCTGGCTGGACCCTCAGGCTGGGCATCTGGTCTGAGTTCCCTCTCCCTCCCCCAGGGCCCGGCGGGTGATACCTGCCCCATCCGTGCTCATGACATTGGCGCCGTGTGCCAGCATCACCTCTAGACAGCTGGCTGCACCTCTCATGGCCGCCAGGTGGAATCTACAGACCAGAGGTCAGGGGTCAGCTGCAGGGTGGCAACTCCTCAGCCATCACACCCCCAGGACATGGGCACTCACGCGGACTTGCCCTCGGGATCCAGCTTCGTGGGCACCAGCCCCTTGCGGACAATGAGGGCAGCCACTCGTGTGGCATCACTGTTCTCCACAGCCTGCAGCAGCCGCTCGTCACTTTTGCCCCAGTCCTGGCTCTGTGGGGCACACCCAGGGGGACGTGGGGCTGGTGGCCACTGCCCGTCCCTGCTCCCTCAGCAGGGCCCTGGGCTCTCGCCGCCCGCCCCGGGCACTTGCCTGGCGCCTGCCTCTGGCTGCAGGCTTTGGGATGGGGCAGGGGCCGCAGGGCGGGCAGGAGCCAAGGTCAGTGGGGCTGAGCCGCAGCTGCCGGGGGAAGTGGTCCTGGGTGGGGGCCTGAGAGAGTATCCCCCCAGCATCTGCCCCCAGGTCTATGGCCCCGGCTGTCATCCCACTCCCACTGCCAGCACTGTACCATTAAATCATCCCCAGATCAGCTCCCAGAATCTTTCCAAACAGTTGTCCTCTAAACCCAGGCCCAGCCCATCCCTTAGTGAAAGGCCCCTTTCCAGCATCACCTCACCATGTCTTTCTGAACCACACTTCGAAATCTTCCCATAGGAACCCTTAAAAGCTCCCTTTAAATGTCCCTCAGCACCTTCCTCTGCCATCTAGCTTTCTTCAATTGCCCTGAGATGCCAAAATTGCCCCCCAAATGTCCCAAGGCTGAAATGCATTCTAAAATATCTCCCCCAAATTCCCGACATGTTCACCAAAGTCATTCCCCAACGACCCCATCATCTGTCCGCAAAGTGTCCTCCCCCCAAAATCTTTCAAATGTCCTCTGAAATTGTTCTCCAAATGCCAATATCTTTTCCCAAAAAAGGTCCCCAGTGTAGCGTCCAAATTGTCCCCCAAATGATCCCATCCAAAACTGTTCCCCCAAACTGTCCCTCTAAATGCCCCCTGAATTCTCTAGAGTGTCCCCATCTGTCCCCAAAATTGTCTCCCCAAATGTCCCATCCATCCTCCAATCTCTGCCCCCGACCCTTCCTCCCTGATCATCCTTGGAAGGTCTGGGGGTGGAGGGTCTAGGCTCCGCGTGTGCAGGGGGCCGGAAGGAGCGGGGCGAGGAGGGGAGGGAAGGGCCCGCGCCCGCCCGCTCGCGTTCCCGCGCCCGCGCCCCCTCCCCGGCCCTACCGCGAAGGAGGC